TTCATTTACTAGCACTGGGTCGATACCGTTGCTGGTTGACTGTTAGTCCCCGGGGGTAACATCAGAACAGTTGTTAGTGATTTGGTGCTGACATGATGTCACATATACCATTAAGGTTTGAGCTTCCCTAATAAAGGTCAATCAAGAAAAAAAATGGAAGTTAATAAATGTTTCATTTGCTATATGACTGGTCTTACCATGACACTTATCGGAATGAGTTTTTGGAGGAGTATGTTACGACAAGATTTTGGTATGAATTGGTGTATACTTAGTTAACAAGTTCAGTTTAAATACAGCGAATTTTCTGAAAAAAATCCATATTGCGGTTGACTTTAATAGCCCAAATCTACTATTTAATTTGTTACGCAAATAAGTGACCAGAACAAGCCAGTGCAGGCATCGAGGGATAACTACTTCATGCAAGACTTTTGGTTACAATATACATGTACCTATACTGATTATTTATCATATTTCAAAACATTTTCTGATTAGGACTAAGAATTTTCTCAAGATTTCCATTACCTTGAATATATAAATGTTTTATATTACATTGCTTCTTTGATAATCAATGAACATGTATAGTGTTATCTCGATAGAGAGCAAAGGTTTCCTCTGATTTGTAGTAAGGTAGGAGCTTTTGTCCCTGTCTCATAAAATAAAATAATATTAAAAGTATATACATTTCTTACCTATGAATTGATTTACCTGCATCGGGAATGCTCAAAACAAAACATTTTAGCCAATAATGTATAAATACCAAAGTACATGAGAGATATATGATCAAACAAAAAAAAAACGAACAGCCAAATTCATCGACGGTCAACTTTGCCTGAGAGAGTTGAAACGTTAGTTTCTAATTAATTTATTAATTCACTAATTAATAATTAGAAGAAAAGATAGATATTTAATAAATCATGTCAGCTGGTGAGATACTCGATTACAAACAGTTCACCAGGAGTTCTAGAAACTAAAAATGACACTTTGTAAATTGCCTCTCTATGCCTTTGAGTTTGAGAACAACAATAGGCCCGATGAAATTACTGTCCTCCTGTGATATACGTTAAAAATATAGATCTCCGGTGTAATACTTGAAAGGATAATCAAACACCTTCCCAATTTATTGTAAAAATGGGTAAAGATTTTTAAGGTTGGTCCAGTTGAAACAGGTCAAAAAGACCTTCTCCCCATAAAATTGTCAATAATTTAAGTAAGAGCTGATATTATTTTTTACTTTTGATATAATAAAACCCCTAGTAGTACACTGTACAGTAAACGTTTTATTCCGAAATTTTAACCATTTATTATTTATTATAAAAATGTACTAAAATTAATTGTGTTATCGAGTGTAAGAGATGCTTTCGGTAAATACAGAATCTGTATCCGATAACTTCCCTATATGGTTTAATGAGACTAATTGGTCAGTCTCCATGAAATTAGAGGATTTTTACTTATCTTCGATAGACTTTAAGTAACTTTGTAGAATAAATTACTGCATTATTTTAAATGTTGAAAATCTAAATCTTAATAGTTGAAATTTTTAGATTTAAACGTCAAAATTATAAAAAAATCAAGAATAAAAATGGCTACACATATCATGTAGAAATGAAAGTTAGGAAACTGTATTAGAATATTTTTTGCACAGGTTCTAGCACGTTGTATTAAAATTGGTATAATTTAGTGTTCTCTGTTAAAACCGATACCACAATTAATGCCCTTTGATTTTCGTTATCTACGAATATAAAGTCCTTAGCATGGATAGTGTACTACTCTCTCCATGTTGTATGCAAAGAATAGCAATCAGGGGGATTTAATTACACTGCAAAAACATGGGATCATGAATTTTAAGGTAACGTTGTGATTTTGACCAGTAGATAAAGCTCTAAACTGAGTTCGTCTGAAACTGTTAAATTCTATGATTTTGATTTGAAGCCAATAAAGATTTCTATAATTTTGACTTAATTTGTCTCAAAACTAGTATATTAAACTGTGGAAATATAATTGACAAATAGCAGCTTGAAGTGTTTCTAATTGGCATTTGTAGTTACAAGAAAAAGGAATACAAATTAATTGGTTTATCGGGCCACTATATAGCTACTGTTACTGATCTTTTGGTTGTGGTTTCTTCACGTTTCAGGGGATTATGTCTCATTAATATTTAAACTATATAACTCCTTTACCATTGAACATTTCGTTTTGAAAAACAAATTATTCAAAACTTTATCTTTTAACATTCAAAGATTTTCGAATTTTTCTTCACCAGGAAAGCGCCAACCTATCAATTTCAAAGCCAATAATGTTTAAACCAGCAACACGAGAAGAGCTTTTTAACCAAAAGGGACTTAAAATAATTAAACAAATTCATCGAAGGTTAACTTTACCTGAGGGAGTTGGAACCTTTGTTTCTTACTGAATTGTACAAATATTTAAGATATTCAATAACGAAGTATGCGTCTACATGTGTTCAAAATATAAAAACTTACTAGTAAATTTTGATTCTGATTTTTGTTTGATTTTAGAGGTAAACATTATTTTGCATTTGTTATACTGTCAATGAAGCTGTTGATATTTTACATGTTGTTAGTTTAATGTATCTGCTGGTTACTATCTCATTCAGGTACAAGAGGCCGAGAGGTTTAACTAGTTCGTCTACTGTATCACTAGCCTGTATACACTGAGGTTGTTAGTTTATTGTATCAGCTGGTTACTATCTCATTCAGGTACAAGGGGCCGAGAGGTTTAAATAGTTCGTCTACTGTATCACTATCCTGTATACACTGAGGTTGTTAGTTTATTGTATCAGCTGGTTACTATCTCATTCAGGTACAAGGGGCCGAGAAGTTTAAGTAGATCGTCTACTGTATCACCAGCCTGTATACACTGAGGTTAGTTTATTGTATCTGCTGGTTACTATCTCAGTCAGGTACAAGAGGCCGAGAGGTTTAAGTAGTTCGTCTACTGTATCACTCGCCAGTATACACTGAGGTTGTTAGTTTATTGTATCTGCTGGTTACTACCTCATTCAGGTACAAGAGGCCTAGAGGTTTAAGTAGTTCGTCTACTGTATCACTAGCCTGTATACACTGAAGTTGTTAGTTTATTGTATCAGCTGGTTACTATCTCATTCAGGTACAAGGGGCCGAGATGTTTAAGTAGTTCGTCTACTGTATCACTAGCCTGTTTACACTGAGGTTGTTAGTTTAATGTATCAGCTGGTTACTATCTCATTTAGGTACAAGGGGCCGAGAGGTTTAAGTAGTTCGTCTACTGTATCACTAGCCTGTAAACACTGAGGTTGTTAGTTTATTGTATCAGCTGGTAACTATCTCATTCAGGTACAAGGGGCCGAGAAGTTTAAGTAGTTCGTCTACTGTATCACCAGCCTGTATACACTGAGGTTGTTAGTTTATTGTATCTGCTGGTTACTATCTCATTCAGGTACAAGGGGCCGAGAGGTTTAAGTAGTTCGTCTACTGTATCACTAGCCTGTATACACTGAGGTTGTTAGTTTATTGTATCAGCTGGTTACTATCTCATTCAGGTACAAGAGGCCGAGAGGTTTAAGTAGTTCGTTTACTGTATCACTAGCCTGTATACACTGAGGTTGTTAGTTTATTGTATCTGCTGGTTACTATCTCAGTCAGGTACAAGAGGCCGAGAGGTTTAAGTAGTTCGTCTACTGTATCACTAGCCTGTATACACTGAGGTTGTTAGTTTATTGTATCTGCTGGTTACTATCTCATTCAGGTACAAGGGGCCGAGAGGTTTAAGTAGTTCGTCTACTGTATCACTAGCCTGTATACACTGAGGTTGTTAGTTTAATGTATCAGCTGGTTACTATCTCATTCAGGTACAAGGGGCCGAGAGGTTTAAGTAGTTCGTCTACTGTATCACTAGCTTGTAAACACTGAGGTTGTTAGTTTATTGTATCAGCTGGTTACTATCTCATTCAGGTACAAGGGGCCGAGAGGTTAAAGTAGATCGTCTACTGTATCACTAGCCTGTATACACTGAGGTTGTTAGTTTATTGTATCTGCTGGTTACTATCTCATTCAGGTACAAGAGGCTGTAAGGTTTAAGTAGTTCGTCTACTGTATCACTAGCCTGTATACACTGAGGTTGTTAGTTAGAACCATGCACGTGACAGTTGCGTTCGACTCCAATCTTAATTGAGTAGGATTGTCAGTTGTTCTGCCGTAGGTCGGTGGCTCTCTCCCAGCATTCCGATTTCCGCAATCAATAATTAACTGACCCCCACAGTATAACAAACAGTGATGAATGTGGCGTTAAATACCAATTATCAATCAAATAATCACGTACACATATATATTATTTGGGACATTTGATAAATTTTGATGAATAAATAAATTTATTTCATTCGTAAACAATATTTTAATTAACCATGATAGTTAATCGGTTAGAAATGAACAAAATGAAAATTACTCGATAATACTCGTTTTAGACAGGATGTGTTAATTATTAGGAGTTTAATATTTATATCCCAGGAAACGTTCACAGGCAAAATAATTAAAACGTAAAACTTAAAGAGAAAACACACAAAATCAGACACAATTCTTGAACTGGACAGTATTTGTTACATTCTAAATTCTTCATTAAAATATTTTTTTTATCAACTCAGGCAATTTGGCATCATAAAGGTACACATGTCGTTAAATAATAATAAAACGTAAAATTAATATCACTTTCTATATCTATGTGCGGAAAAGGAAATATCCATAAGCATGTGAATAATATTTCATTACATGTTTGAAAACCTACACAACGAAAAATGTGTTTGGTGTAGCCTTTTTATTTATTTAACAACAACCACTAAACATAAGATAGATAAGATATGCATTTTTTAAAACATAGACATTCTGTGTAATTAAAATTGATTTTATACAATGCAATACATCAGGTTTAGCCATGTGTATCTTTTATCATTGATTTTGAAATCGGTTACATGCAAACTTCTACCTGTTACACAGAGTTAGTTTGCAACAAGTAAAACAACGAAGAAGATGTGGACAGAAATTATGGTGGCTGTGTTGGTCAGCTTTCTTGGAAAGACTGAAGGTAATGTTAAATAATTAAACTATACACTGCTTTTGTTTTAATATTTATATCCTTTTAGAAGAAATTCAGAAAAAATACCGTACAGTTCTTTTGAATAAAAAATTTATGACACTTTCCATGAAGGGATATTTTAACAATTGAATTACACTATAAATTCAAAATCATTATTCCCTCATTTTAATGTCAAACAAGCCTGTAAAGCACAAATAGATAGTATCAGGAATAGGCGCCATGTTTTTAAAATACGTCTTGCAGTTTGTATTATGTTATTTTCAGAAAATTTTCTTTTTTTATTTGTTTTGATTCAACTGCTTCATATTTGTGACGTGATAAAGATAAATATATGTAACATTTGAAACTTTTTCATTCGATAAAAACACTTGGACTCCAATTATCAAATAAAGTTGTTACATCTAGTAGTTGCTCCAATGCTTTTTGTAAATCTTTTGAGAGTCCAAAACGTTTTTCTTTTGATCAGGCACGCTCAAGACCCCAAAATGTAGACAGTAAAAATAATCAATATATTGTTTTGCCACATTTCTCAAATTGTTTTTTTTTTCGCATTCGTGTGATCTTCTCTTCAGGTTTTTATGACAGAAATGAATTATGATAAAAACTCAATGTAATTATGTGGCAAATTGACACGTACATCTAACAACACGTTTTACTTAAGATTCCTTTTTGTTGAAAATGTATTTAATAATTCCAGGTCGAGTTGTATCTCATAACTTATTTTTATACTCAGTCTGATTATTTGTAAACGTTGTTCGAAATATCTCCTATTTCTATTACTAAATTTGATGTATATTATCAAAAATTGTATTTAATGGCTGTTCAAAAAATATAAAAACAAAAAGATTTCAAATTGAGTTATACTAACTCTTCTTATGCCGTCATGGACGATTTGAGTAATGAAAGTCTTTCTCTCTTCGTTTGTGTGCGTCTTCTCAATCGATTGATGCGATTTGAACATCGGTAGATTTCTGTTGCCTACATTTCTTCCTGACACAGGGAAAGCTTATTTCCGATGCAAATTTGTCAATAATTATATGTCTACATACCAGGACTACCTGAAAGTTTACTGGTTCGTATTGAAATCACGTATCAATGACCCCTTAATTCATTATTGAAATGACATGATAGACGCAACATATTTGTGGTTCGTATTATTGTATGGTAAAAGGCAGTAGAATGATATAAATGGTAAACCATTCCAACTTTGTTATCCATTTACAATAATTCGTGCGTTACCAACTTTTGTGTCATTTATAGGGAATGAAAATCATTTTAATGTTTGCGTCAATACGTGCTGCATAGTTATGTGTATTTTGTGATTGAAAAAGTACATTTTAGAGCTAATTTGTCCCCGCGGATTCATTTAAATCAAAAATTTCTCATCTATACCGACATCACTCGTGACAGGTTTTAAACGTATGAATACTGTAAACTACTCATTTTTTTAGAGCGATAAATGTTTCCTGAGTAGCAAATTACACGAATATAAATAATTGCGAATACGTAAAACTTGGATCTTTTCTCATTTGACTACATTACGTAATTTAAAAATCGCGAAATCCAACCAACTATTCGCGAAAATCTTATTTTACAGTATTAGCAATTTAGACAGTATAATTAAATGGCTGAACTGTTTTGAATAATGTATTCGCAATAAGAACGATTTCTATATATATATAAAAATAAAAGTACAACCAAAAACCAACCACGGCATACTGTAGTACCACTGTTTACAAAATTACTTTTGACAAAGCTGTTTTGGAAGTTGCCTAGTATGTTCTCTTTGAAAAATAATGTTAGTTAGTTGGTTGCTTAACATGTCACATGCATGTAGTAAAACAAAACTTAAATATGCCAATTATCCACGACACATTTCACCGCTCATGTAAGCGGAGAATCATTATACAACGACAGTCCAGAAACAAAAATACATTTAGAACAAATACTGTAAAAATTTTATTTCAGAGACCGATTTATTTTCGAGGAGAACACTTATTGCTTAAATGTGAGTGAGTCAATCAAATATATATAATGGCTCGTATTGACTTTTACAGGGCATACACAAAGGAATGACACATTATGATTCCAAGAATAAATGTCTGAATGTAATACAATTCGTCGTGTCGTTTATGACACATTGACTGTGCATGTGACATTTAGTTTAAGTGTCACTGTATGCTACATGTCCAGTGGGTTACATATACGTTTCTGTCAATCTGTTTAAATTAAAGGCGGTTTAAACTGTATTTAATTCAAATATTGGTGGTTAATTGAAGTGAATCAAAGTTAATAAAAAAACAGCGTTTGGTCAATATTTAGGCTAACAAAACGAAGTTCCTTTGAATGTCGTAAATAAAGTTTAAAACACAAGATTTGCACACAAGCAACAGTAATTCCATACAAAGAAACTGGGTGAGACTTAAAGCATCGATAAAGTTGTAGCTCATGCGTGAAGTGCAGCACCTTATAACATATCTTTTTATTTTATTTAATTAGATTGATTATGATAATTTGTAAAAATAAAAAAAAAAAGCTGTTAGCACTCTCAGATGTTTATTTTGTGTCTGAAGTTCTAGTTGCTAGTTGTTTTGTGTTCATTTGAAGCATTAAACCTTTTTCAACAGATTTTTATAATTTTATATATCCAATGAAATTATTCCTGTTAATTGTGTACATGTAGTTCAAATTTCTTGAAATTTTCATGTCATTGTTAACAGGTCAACGTTAATAAATTGTCAAAATTTTATGAAAATTAAACCAGCAAAATTTATTTTAGTCAAAGTGTTGGGTACCCCATGAATTTGATTTCGGTGTGAGTGTTTTTTTGATGGCGATAAATCCAGAAATGCGCTCATATGCACCAAATGTAAAAAGTAATATTTTCCTATAACACTTGGAAAAGATAGCTGATCATTTAGTTTACAGTTAAATTGTTACTTTAAATTTTACTTAGAACGTATTGAAAAAATTAATTTAACAAATAAACAAGATTACAAGGTTACAGACAATGACTTTGTAACTTTCACGTATGTTTTTTCCATTACTTGATTACAATAATAAAGACCTCAGTAAAAATGTTCTGATTATTGAGTTACTTTTCGATAGATGAAACTGCCTTTTGGCTAAGCAAGATAGGTCATCGTGACCTAGTAACTATGAGATGCAGTATAAAATTATATGAAAGAACAGATATTTTAAAATTTGACAAGCAATGAACATTCTTCATTTTAAACTTTAATTATACACATTTAAAACATTTAAAGTTTTATTACAATTATTGCTCTTTCCAACAATTGCATATTTTGACAAAAGTTGATCATTTTTCAATCACCTTCAGTAAACCTTTCTGAATTTGACAGACAGCGGTCCTCACGGATTTTGCGGCTTTCCATGTACGCTTCATAATAAAACCTATGACCTTTGCTCTTGTGACGTAGACAATGTAAACCAAACATATAGTGTAGGAGGTAATGATACTACTGTGTTTACGGAAAATTTCGGTGGTGAAAAGAAAACTGACTGGGAATGTTATACAAGAAGTGGACGGTTTTATGTAGTACGGTGAGTAAACATTTATTCATTTGTCTGTACCAAGTCAGGAATATGATAGTTGTTTTCAATTCGTTCAGTCTAACGTTTGATTTTTTTAGTTTTATGGACTTCTCCTTTTTGAATTTACATTGAAGTTTGGTTCTTTTGTTGAATACTTCTTTACAAACCTTATATTGATTGATTGTTGGTTGTTTCACGTCCAGTAGCAAATATTTCATGCATGTTCAGGACGAGAACAAATTAACAATAAATCCAATAGTTAGGTCCTGAAATAGAGGCCGTCCGCGATGAAGGTTGGGAAAATTTGGACTGCCACGGGAAAATGAGGGTATATTGGATAGGGACAGAAATTTAGCCATGCAACAGGCCACCTACGGACCCCTGGAAAAGTTGTTGCAAAGGTTCTTGATGTTCAATGAGCATGGCACTCTCTTAACACGAGGCAAAGGATTTAACGTCCCCAATCTGACCGGACGTGGCTGCGAACTTGTACATCCTGCACAGCCAAACGGACACCCCATTTTGGCGAGGGTTTTACTGCCGGTCGGAAGAAGAGCAATGGTGACCATATTTCTATTCCTCAGTCACTCTTGGGGGCACAAAATGTAGACGTGAATATATTATTCTGCAACATAATTGGTCAACTTCACTCAACAAATACGTGTTATGAGAAACATAGCGTTCTACTTAACCGTGATTGCTTTTGTCCGAAAAACACTGTCAGCTTGATGGAAAAGGTATTCAGTATATTATAAAGTGATTATTATAAGATGATAATAATAAATTCGTTATTGCATTTAATTGCACGTTTCGCAGAATGAAACCGCCGAAATCACGCAAAAGCAGGTCTAATCAACTAAATAAGATATTAGTCATAAGTCCTGACAATAATTTGTAAGTTTTAACCTACAATTACTAATATAAGAAGGTGCATATCTCTCTAAAAGGCATGTCTTTATTTTTATAGAATTATTACTTTAACTGTTCCTACATACACATTTAGAAGTAACTACTTCAAAAGCCTAGTATGCATTTGCACTATATCAAATTATTTTCTTAAAGACATACACTCATTTTCAAGAGGTTATTCATGTGTATGTTCTCTCGATTTACCCTCAGATTGAATAGAAGTCCAAAAGGACTTTTATTTACAGTATGTTAGTCATTATGTGTGCTTTCACATCCATAACTTATAGTAAAAATGTGTTTAATCCTTATATCTTTAACCCAAAATCTTTGCTATTTTTCCTTCATTTTGAACTTTCGTAGAACACAAGGATTCAATTCATGTTTTTCACACATGCATATATCACAATGGAATAGACATGCCTTTAACATAGGATACACAAGTAGTTTCGGAAACATCTAGTGTTAACTATGAAAAAATAACAATATAACGGACAATTCCCATTAAAAAATTTGAATATATTCAAATCATATGCAAAATATCAGCAGGTGAATGTACATGACTGAGCGTTTAGTCCATATTTCAATTCTACTTTCAGACGACGTATTGATTATGATGTATTCGCATACCGTTGTATGAGGGACATAATGTACAATACCGATAAAGATATAAGAGTATATTGTATGTCAGAATGGGGTAAGTGTTAAATATAAATAATAGTATGACGCTCTTCTTTCACTTTGTAAACAAAGCCATGTTTGAATTCCAACAGAACAGGCGTGCGCGTGCGTGACATCATAATCAAAATTGTAACTTTATTTGTTATTTGAACAACGACAGAGATCGAAAATGACATTTGTGTTGATTTTGAAACAAATTCATTGTGAAGTAAGTTTACACGTATCTGTTCAATTTTATTCGATAAAAAGGATAGGCTTATATGAACCATAATTCATACAAAATCTTATTAAAGACAAAAAATAAATCATGTCGCTAGGTTTTTTAATTTCACTTACAGATATATTGATGATATCATGTCACTCAAAAACAAACATTTCATAGAGTGCTTGCAATTCCTTTATCGCAGTGAGATTAAGAATACTACTTATTCAAAGGTTTGCCTTTAATCCTGATCGTTTTCTCTTTACTGACACAGGTAGAAAACATCAAGTATCTACAAAATTCCGAGGTTCAACTTTCCATTTCTCAGCCGTAAGAATCCTCTACACCGTCGTATAGCTTTCACGTATCTCAATTAAAACTTCATTCGGTGTGTGCTCCTAACACAAAAACTGCCCAAAAGAGGTATAAGAAAGAATGATTTAAGTCGACACTATATCGTTCCGGTTTTTTTACGGTTTTACTGTCACCATCACAATGACGACGGGTCTATGTCTCAACTCAAAAGCGGCATTTTTATGCGGTCTAAGATTTTTAAATACCAGAAATGTCATCTGATCAAAAAATTTACGGCCTTTGTCCAATTCCCGATCTCGACATTTTTATTAAGTATGAATTCGCATGGCAGGTGAAGCTTGCAGAGAAGGAGACGCTTACCCTGTGGTCACATCTGGTTTCTCCTTTGGAGTTCATTCGAATCCCTAAGTTTTTTTTCCCGTATTTTTATATACGTGGGTAATTTATAAGATTTGAACATCGGTAAACTACAATGTTCAAATAAATGACTTTTATCCTTTTGAAAAAGAGAGGCGGGAGATACCAAAATGGTATTTATACAAGTTGACTACAAACTGACAACGCAATGGCAAAAAGGAAAAACTACCAGAAGAGATACAACACTTTACAAATCACAACAAGAAAACTAAAGAATGTGTAACTCGAAACAGACGAAAAAACTGGGCATGAAATCTCTGATATAACTGCCTTCTTGTTACCAGCAACCGTATATCATATACTAGCAATCCCTTGAATAACGTTTCAACTTCAAAGTGTGATTCAATAGAAAAAATAAATATAAAAAAGCAGTGTCTCAGTGTTGATGATTTTCTTTTTTATGACGGCCATTTTGAAATTTTCCGCCATTTTGAAAAATATTTCAAAGTATAATATACATCTTTACTTAGTAGATACGTTGAATTATATTTTATTTGCTTTTAAAAGATTGGGTTTGAATATTATTTCCGTTGTTTTATACATGGTTTTGCAATTTAGACCTATTGGACGCCATCTTGAAATTGGCCGCCATATCGATTTTTCAGAGTGGGGACCATATTTTAAATTGACAGCTAGACATATATTTTCAATTGTGAAAACTTTTATTCTTTTATCATCAAACCCATAATTCTTCCGAAAATATCCACGAAACTACTTTAGCCTCTGATTCAATATAATTGTCATATTAAAACAAAATTAAAAATTTAGGTTTTTTATTTCCTAAAAGCAACAATCAACAAAGGAGCTACTATAAATACAATTTAACTGAATTTATTAAGTTCGTATATTACGTTAATGTAGTGAAACTAACATCGCCAATTAAATTTTGATTAATTGGTTTCCAAAGATCTGTATAAGGCACATGATTATGTCTTATTTTATAGTGTTATGCACTGGGTTAGTATTGCCGTTTTCATGGCGTTTGCATTCTGATTGAAATTGGATGGAATGCGTTGACTTTAATGTTCAACTTGTTTTTATAGACTTTTTTTAACAATTAATATCGCAGATCAAAAACGAATAAGATTGATTTTGCATTTTAATATTAAAATCTGAACATTTATATTCAAGACTATATTTATATTACAAAAGCTCTAAGCCGCATCCCGTTTGAAAGGTTGAAAACAGTTAACGTAATTATATATAATACAAACAACAGTTAGAGACACTAAAACAATGACCTCATTCCAAACTAAAGCATCGACCATAATGAAAAAAATAAAAAAAAACCCTTTATGCTCGAGATAAAATGTGTGAGTATATTTGTACACGATTTAAAATGTTATGCGCGTTTTATTTTTTAGCATCATTTGAAGGTAATCCTTCTCTGTGTGATGTCTGTGATGGATCGGCATTTGATAAGGACAAACGTTTGATTATCAAAGGTAAATATAAAAATAAGGAAATAGTGAATAAGGGGCAGGATTGTGTTTATAGAATTGCATAAAAAAGAACAAAACCAAAAAAAAAAAGTAAAAATACAAAAAAAAAAAAAGAAAAGTAGGCAGACAAAATAAGAAAAAAAGAGAACAATAGATATATTGGGTGCTAAATTTTCAAAAAAAAAAAAAAAGAAAAGAGATTAATGGGCAAAATTAATAAAAAATAAAGAACAATAGTCTAAGATATTATAAAAGATAGAAATGAAGGACCTCACATCAAGACCCTCTAGTATGATTGCAAATGATATATTTCCCCTATTCTAGTGCATGATTGTAGTGTAGCTTCGATACACCTACAGCGATTCGCGAATAACATAATTTAAAAGAACAAAAAATAGGACAATATGACATTTTATGTTCACACTATTAATAATATTCCAACCACACAGGTAAACTGCTTCATTTCTCTTTTAGAGCAAAGTGAAGGTAAGTTGAATAGAATTTAATACTTATTGAACTAGAAAGGGAATATACTGACATTAAGTAAACATAATTGATAACAGAATGGATCCTTTGTCAGAATATATGTCTTCGTTCTCCTTTGAAATTCTGTGGTTGAATTTTTCTCCTAAAGTAATTTAAGCAAATGCTGGTCTTTGTTTTTTCTTGAATAAATATTCATATGATGGAAACCTGATTTCTCGTAAAAAAAATTTGGCATTCCAACTAATTTAATTCGAGCACCACTAATGAGTCTTATGAAGACGAAACAAACGTCTGGCGTACACAATTATAAGCTGGTATATTTGATGAGTTTCGAGATACTATCTCAAATATATAACCAAGATAATGTGGGTTTTTTATAAGATTTAACTGAAGGTTCTTCCTAACTGATATATAAAAAGAACTTGATGGAATTTGCAGAATAGAGAATTATGGGCCAAGCAATGAAAAGATTGATTGATTGATTGATTGTTGGTTGCTTAACGTCCAGTGGCAAATATTTCATGCATTTTTAGGCCGAGAACAAGTTAATAATTAATACAATAGGAAGGTCTTACAATAGGGGCCGTCCGGGATGAAGTGCGGGAAATTTGGACTGCCACGGGAAAAAGAGAGTAAATTGGATAGGGACAGGAATTTGGCCATGCAACAGGCCACCTACGGACCCCTCAAAGAGTTGTTGCAAGGGTTCTTAACGTACAAAGAGCGTGACATTCTCTCCACACGAGGCAAATGATTTAACGTCCCCATTCTGACCGGACTCAGCTGCGTACTTGATACATCCCGCACAGCCAAACTGACGCCCCACTTTTGCAAGGGTTTTACTGCCGGTCGGAGGAAGACCTGTAATGAGAATATTTATATTCCCCAGTCACCTTTGGTGAAGCAATGAAAAGAAAAAAATGCGCAAACGAAAAGATTGGACAATAACCTTGCGCTAAAATATGAAAAATAATGAGTAAATAAACCAAAGAATAGATAAAAATGCCATAAAATAAATAATATAGAAATGACCTCAACAACATCTAACCCCTCATTCATTGCACAGATAAAAAAAAATATTAAATTGTTATTTTGTAGAATGTGGAGTTAGTAAGTACAACTTGTTCATTATTTTGCTTTCCTTTTTCTACTCAAATGTCTGTACAAAATCAGGAATATGGAAGTTGTTTTTCACTTGTTACGTTGATTGATAGCGTTTTAATTGGTCAGTTTTATGAACTTTGCCTCGGAGTTCAGTATTTGTGTTATACTTTTATTTAATATTCCTCACGGAGAATTTGTGCTTTATCATTTTCCGTAAACAAAATTAATCAGGATAAAGTGTATTCATCAAAAACTGTAAGGAATGATTTTGATAGAATAGTTTATTTAGAAGAGTCTGAAGTACATTTCTTCAAATATGCCATCAATCCCAAGACTTTGGCTATCATGTTTAGCATTAAAGGATTTCACTTCTTTAAAAAAAAAACAAAAAACAAGATATTGTCTTGTTTTTTTTCGCAAATTTGTAAAATTAATCATTCGGTATAAAACTAATAAATTTGTTTTAAGACCCGAAGGATGTATTTAAGCCATCACTTCACTATTTGTATCCATACAGAATTAAGAATAAAGATTATGCAATGTTGCTTTTAAGCGTCTTTGGTAAGTAACATGGTACTAACATTTCAATAAGGTAAAAAATCAACTCTGTTCTGTTTTATGTTGCTATCAATTTTTTTTTCAGTAACATGACACTGACATTAGAATATTGTAAAAATCAAATATGTTATGTTCTATCTTGCTTTTAAATTTCTTTTGTCAGTAACACGACATTGACATTTCAATATGGTACAACATTAAATATCTTATGTTTTATGTTGCTATTAAGTGTATTTGTAAGTAAAATGGCACTGATATTTCAATATCGTAAAACATCAAAGCTATTAATTTTTCTGTTGCCTATAAATTTTTTCTGCCAGTAACATGGCACTGACTTTACAATATGGTAAAACATAAATATGTTAATGTTTCATGTTGCTATTTAATGTCTATGGTAAGTAACATGACAGTCACATTTCAATATGGTATAAAAATCAAATTTGTTATGTTTCATGTTGCTTTTAAATTTCTGTTGTTAGTATAATGACACTGACTTTACAATATGGTAAAAAATCAAATATGTTATGTTTCAGTTATCCTCGAATCCGGCTGTAAGTTTACTTCACTGAATTTATTTTAACTATTTTCATTAATTTTATTACTAGTGTTTTTAATGATTTTTATTTTTTCTTTTGAGGATCAAACTTTGTTTTGCCTTCAATACCTTATACATTTTTTTTATACTTCCTGGACCAAATCAAGTTGTAGGTCATGAAACATTGGATATTTTGATGTGTGTTTTAGTTTTAGTTTATGTTTCTTTTTTCAAATTAGCATACAATTATAACAAAGATCTGAATTATATCTTGTAAATAGTTTAATCTTTTAGCATCATTTCAAAATGTTATTGCCTTTGTCAAATATGAAATCTGTTTTCATCTTTCGTAATGTTTTCCTGCTATCATGTCCAAACATGTTCAGCTACAGTTAATCACTTTGCTATATTTTTCAGTCTGTGGATGTGCTCTACCAACTATATGTCCAGTAACTAACAACGTTACCCAGACACAGTGTGATGCCTGTGAGAGTTCTGAAGGTAATGACGATGGTCTATGCTGCAGCACCTAATCTGCATAACGTACAACTTGATTAAATGGATCAGTCCAAGTGGAAGTAAAATTAACAACTATTGAATAAACATTCAGCATTTGTCTGTTGTTATTGTTTTGTCTGACATTTATACTTACATGACCAACACGATGGGTGCTACAGTTGGAGCAAGATTTGCCTACCCTTCCGGAGCACCTGCGACCTTCCTGGTTTTGGTAGGGTTTGTGTTGCTCAGTTTGTTGTGTGTTGTATACAATTGTTTGTCTTTTGGTCTTTTTTCTTGTTTTGTTATGGCGTTTTCAGTTGGAGTTCGAGTTTGAACGTCCCTTTGGTATCTTTCGCCTCTCTTTCATAACAACTGCAGCTTATTACTGTATTATGTCTTCATTTTAATATAAAATGAAAAATAAGGAGAGTTGGAATAATTGCCAATGAGACACTTTTACTTCACAGACCATGCAAGGACATGCATATAAATAAAAGCAATAGTATTATACCGCTGTTCAATAGTCATAAATCGATTTAACTGAAACAAATCCGGATCACAAACCAAAACTGAGGGTAACACATAAACTAAAAGAAGAAACAAAACGAAACAACAGAAACACTGAGCTGCTACAAAAACAAACGCCAACATACATAGAAACGGACTATGTGATAACAACTGCTATATTCCTGACTTGGTACAGGACATTTTAAGAAAAAATAGTGGGTTGAACCTGATTTTATGGCTAGCCAAACCTTCCGCTTATATGGCAATGTTAAAGATACCGCTAAAATGACCAACATAAGGTAACAGTTTTCATGTAGTCTTTTTTGTTCGCATTTTACTTTATAGCAGTATAAAATCCATCTTAGTTTGTGTCTATCTTGTACTAAGAATCCACAGTTTGGATGGAGTTGTATATTACATTAAACAGATAACAGGAATTACCAAAGATAATAAACAGTATAACGGACCACACCAACCACTAACACATACACCTCCAAAAAATACGTACCAAAAAAAAAAAACGAACAATACAAAGGCCAGATAGTTTAATTTGTCTCTGGCACAAAGTGTGGTGGGTTAAAATCAATTTTACGTGCTCACAAATCGTCCTCTTTGTATATCTAAACCATAAGTCGTAGAAGTAAAACAAACAATAACCTATGCATGTACAGCGACCATAATAATAAAAAAACTTAAGTGAATAAGGAGATGAAAAAGCTATCAGATGTTGAAATCAGGGTCAAAGTGTGCTCGCTTCAAAATAACTAGCTAAGATAACCTTTGATTACTGTCGCGGAGGAAAAATATCAGACATCAACCCTAACTGGCTTCTTGATGTCCAAATATTACATTTAGGCTCTTGTTTTACATTTCATTTTGTTGACAATTTCATAAATTATGAATTTTACGACTACAAATGCATCGCATGACCTTCACCAATGAGGACAAAATATATCTTACATTACGGTATAAATGGCCACGGGGAAAAGGTTTTTTTTTTTGAAAACTAACGACTAATATAATCAAACGAAAAACAATTATGTATGACAGCAATTAATGGATCTACTAGAGTACAGACTCTTGGCTAGATGTATGTTTGCAACGAATGTTATAAAATTAACTTGGAATCAAAAGAGCATGGAGCACAAAAGGGGGAAATATGAAGAATTATGTAATATTTGGATTCAGGTTTAACTCATGATGGGCCGAATGGAATAACTTAACTCCAAGGTATATTAGAAAAGGGGGAAGTCCATAATTCCTCAAAAAAGCAAACGCTCGACTATATCAACCAACGGAACAAATGATAAACAATTGCCGTGTTCCTGGCTTAGAACAGGCTATTTCCGAAGAAAGTTTTGTGTTAAACCTGGTTTTATAGCTAGCTAAATTTCTAGTTTTTAGTTCCGTTACATTGACACGTTTGGTGAATGACCCAACAAATAATTGGTTAATTTGACTATTATTGGGATACAGCAGCCAAAACTGTTTTACATACATCACATGCATAAAACAAAATGTTTGCAGAAGATAGTACAAACAGTATAGTAAAACGAAATTACATTTACACAATATGTACAGATTAAGTAAAATACTTCTACGAACGTATTCAAAATAAAACCAACACTATAAAAACATCATGCGTCCGAATCGCTTTACTGGATCCACATGGACGATACAGGATATTTTATTGCGTGTTTGGTGCATCTGGCAAAATATGACAGTTGAAGGGGGATGAACTCCTGGGCCCGAGAGACTATGTCAATTTTCTTTTGTGTCGGGGTTACTCGTGAGT